AATAATATAGTAATAATTATAATAAATGTAAAATAATAGTTAATAAAGAAAATAATAAAGATTGAAATCAAAAAAAATACATAAATTAAATATAAAAAACGTTATTTAACGTTAAATGCTATAAAAAAACAATAAAAAAAAAATATAATAAATATTTATTAAATGACCATTTTTATAGTGTAAAACAAATATTTTGTACTTTTAACATTATTAAATGCCATTCTAGAATACTATAAAAAATTTGTACCATTATGACTAATGATATACGAACGCTGATATACAATGTTATTAATACGAAAAGTTCGTTATATGTTATAAAACGGTAATATATAATGTTATATAAACACCAATTATAAAACGTAATACGAACGGAGCATTTGTATAGCATTCTAGAACGTTATATTCTAGTACGTTGGTGTCATTCTAGAATGCTATTCGAACATTCCGTTTGTATAATGTTGTAGAATATTATATAAAAATTCCTGATGCATAAGTTTATGACATCTGAATTATCAAATACAGAATTATAAAAAAAAGAATATTGTAAGGAAAGTCAAGATTCAATTATTGCAGTGCATAGAATATATGATAGAACCATTAAGATAGACTATCGAGTTGAGAATATGAATAATTATATATTAATAATTCCATTGAATAGAAGATTTAATGTTTAATTTATTCTTTTTTTTATATTATAATAAAGACAACTTCAAGTAAAAAATTTGAATTTAAGTATATACTACATAAAAACAAATTAAGTTTAATTAAAATATAGTATCAGGGATCTGATAAATTATCAATTATCGGACATGTCATATCAAATGTAATTACTATAATTACAAAATATAATTATACAAATATCCCACACAAAAATTTTAATTATCTCAAAATCAATATTTAAAATATATTTTTCACTTCTAATAAAACTAAAATTTCATGTTTTAAACTTCACATTTCAAAAAAAATTCAAATACCTTATAATATTTTATATTTTATTATTCCCCTTTAAAGATAGGTCATATTTTATGTTCAAGTTCAAGATCCTTTTTCGTTTTACAATATTTATTGAATCTTTAGCTTTCAAAATATCTGTAACTTTGAAGATAATATAATAGAATATTTTCCATAAGCTAAATTATTACATGTAAAAGTTTTTAATATTGATATATTTTTTAAATAAAAATAAAGTTATTTTTTAAAAAAATTAAAGTTATTTTTACAAGCGTTTTTTTTGTTTTTTATTATAATAATAAGTTTTTATTCAGTTTACTATTCAATTAGACGAAATTGTATTAAGTTCTGTTAATATATTATTAATTTTATTATCTGTAGGCATGGAATCACCTTCACAAATGGAATCTAATATATTTTTTTCTTTTACGGTAGTTTGTCTTTTACGTTTTTTTGTTAGTTTATCTTGTAAATTTAGTTGGGTTGTTGGTTTATCTTGTAAATTCAGTTGGATTTCTTGAGATTTGAGTATGGTAGGAGTTACTTAAGTTGATATTGTATTTTTATTACTTTGTGATCATTTTTTATTGTTATTTATATCTGCCCATTTTGATTTATTTATTCCTGTAGTTCTTCATCCTTTTTTATTAATTGGATCGATCTTTAAAACTTCCTGACATTGTTACTATGGATTTCTTCCACTTTCATAAATTCTTATTATTTTATTTTATTTTTTTCTCATTTGTATTTATTTTATTAGTATAGTTATCTTAATATATTTAGTATATTTAGTTATTAGTATTTACTGTATTTATTCAGTAGTGTAATATGAATTAGGTAAATTAATAATATAGATCATAGTGGTCCAGTTACTGACCAATTTACTAACCAATTTAGTGGCCAACTGATTGACCAATTTAGTGATTAACTAATTGATACAATTACTGACCAAGATTTTGATCAACTTACTAACCAACTTATTGATCAAATCAAATATTATAAAAACAATAAGTTTTCTTTCCATCCCAAGAGAGATTCAAATAGTTTTTTGAATAAGATTTGAATAATTCTAAATAGTGAAATTTAGAAAGTAATCTCAATTGTAATAATTTTATAATCCTAAAGTAATTGGATTATTGATTTTCTTCATAATAAACCTATACTTTTTATAAAAAAAACTCTGTTCTTTTATTAATTATATTCTTTAAATATAAATTCTGATCTATAAAATCCTGTTATTATTTTATAAACAATTGATAAATATATTTAATTCTTTACCTTAATTTCTTAAATTAACCTTTAAAACTTAAATTATTAATCAATATTTAAAACCTGTGATCCTAAATTCTTAAGTCTTTTAATTAGTTTTAAGTATTTAACTTAATATTTCTTTTAGTCTTCTTCAATTATCCTCTTCAATTTGTAAACTAAAGTAACTGTTTACAAGTTGCTAGTTGTAAATTACCTTTTAGAAAATAAAATTAACCTAAAAGGTCAACTAGTAATAATGTACAATACTTTGTATTCGTACTATTCCTTCATCATAGCATTTAGTTAATCTTGTATATCTTTCTATATTTAATTACTTCAGTTTAAACTTTTTAAATAATTCATGTTCTAGAAAATTCTCCATTTCAAATACTTTAATTAGGTCATTAGCAAGTATCCAAATAACATCTTTCTGTGATACGATCATATGACCATTTTTGACATTCATATGATTATTAATATATTTAACAAATAATAAATTGATATATTCTCTTTCTAATTAAGCTGATTTTATTTGGTATTTTTGATTTCTTCATTAATTATATTTCTAGTTACATTTTGTTTTATGAATTTTACATCCAGTACTTCTAATGTTTCATCATAAGTATAATAATGATTTCTTCGTATAAAATTAATAGAGGTAGAATGTTGAAGTATCTGTTGAAGTTGTAAATATTGAGTAATAATTGAAATAAAGTGTGCTACTGAATGAGTATAGTTTGATTTTCTTGCAATTGGAAACAGAGGAGTAAATAAAGTTAAGCAATTATACTGAAGGTCAAAATTTCCTGTTCTAATTCCTAATCTATAAGTTTTTTATATTTCAATTCATTAATAATAATGGAACCATACTTTGAGTAAAATATTATTGTCATTAACTATATCTTCTATTTTTTGTTTGTTTTCTTTAAATATACATGAATAGTAATACCAACTGCTATCTAAATTAATTCAAGAACACGAACTGTTAAAGATAATTAACTACAGATTCTAATTTATCAAGAAATCAAACACCAAGTGCAATTGTAAGATCAAATATCCTGTAACTAGAGAAAATTGTCAAAAGCACCAAACACATATCTTTATTAGTATGCCATGCTTCTAGAATTGATCTTATGATAAATTTAATTTCCGGTAACGTAACAATTGTCTAAAAATAGTTTCATCTGTACAAATATTAATATATTTATTATTTTTTAAACTTAAATCTACTATATACATTTCACAAGCTTCAAAAATTAATAAATCTTCATTAAGTACATCACTAGCCTCAAGAATTACAATTTTTGAAGAAGAATATGAATTTTCAGATTATATTTCAATAAATATTTTTTCATGTAAACTTTTTGTATTAAAGTTTCTTTTAAAAATTAATAGTGATTTTTTAAAATCAAGAGTATTATTAAAAATATTACTAAAAGTATTCAAAATATTTATTGTATAGTTATTTATTTCAAAAGAATTAAATGATTCATTCAATTCAATAATTTCATCTGTTGAATTTAATAAATGCTATGGTAATTTATATTGAAATATCATTTAAAGTGTTGCATGGAAACTTTCTCTTGTGATATCATAAATATTTCCATAAGCAAAAGTTTTTTCTTTAAAATCTATGTTATCAATTATAGCTAAGTTCTAAATATTTGATTTAAAAATAAGTCTTTCAGTAGGATTAATATTATTCATTCTTACTTTTTCAAGATGTCTTTTATGATAATCAGAGTGTAAAATAATTTCCATTGTTACAAGTAATTTATAAAAAGAGAAAAATAATTTTGTTTTTTGACAAAGACTAGAAAATATATTTGAAAGTTAAAGATTTGAATTTTTAAAAACAAGATTAAAAATAATAGAATTAAATAAAGTAACAATTTTGTGAATGTGATTCAAATTAATAGTCTTTAAAGGTTTTCTTCTTTGTTTTTGTTTTCTATTTGTAATTATTTTTTAAATTCAAATAATTTTTGAAATAATCTTTCAAAAAAATTTGAGAGAAATTTTGAAAAAGCATTATAATAAATTATAAGAGAATCTGGTTTTCTCAATACATCTTTTTCTAAAAATTTGTGTGAATTCCAAATCATTATTGCAAATTTTTTTCCAATATTAAAATATTCATCTTGATTGAATTCTGTTTTTTTTGAAGTTTCTATATGAACTAATTTTAATAAAATTTTAAATAAAAATAAACTTGAAATTTCATTTAATGTGAAAGAAGCAGAATTTATTTTTTGTGATAAAGATTGTGAAGAAGATTGTGATGTAGATTTTGAAAATAATTGAAATATAGGTGATATAGTTTTTAATAAATTTTCTTTTTCTGTATTATTATTAAATTTTGCTATAGCTAAAATCCAATTATCTAATGTCATTAATATTTCTGTAACATCTGATTCATGTTTTCCTCCTTTATCACACTTTTTTATACATTTCCTAGGACCAAAAGCTTTAATATACAAATGTCTCCCATTTTTTTCGTAACAAATATAACAAATATAACATGGTCTATAATCATTTGAGGATTGCGTAACTATTGGATCAATTATTTTTAGAGTAGGACATGAATATTGGTCAATACATAGTACTTGAATATTTTTATTGTTAATTGCTTTTGAATGTTCTAAACAAATATTACCTTGACTATAAAAATATAGATTTTGTCCACAGAATAAACAACGACAATGGTAAAGAATACTATGTTCAGTTAAATTTTTTGTTTTAAATTTTTTTTGTATATTTATTTTGATTAAATATAAAATATGAATAATAGATATCAAGGTTTTCTAATTGTTTATTTACTTTTTCTATAGCACTCTTATCAACTTGTCACATTTCTATTAATTAATACAATGGTCTTAACTTATCTGAACTTCCACATCGTTGAATTTTTCCATTAATTATATCAATAATTGTACAAGGTATTATATGTTTTGTTTTATGGTGTTCAATTGTTTCATTATCTATTTTATCTAAATCACTTATTTCCAAAGGTAAACTTTGAATTTCTATAAAATCATCTTGTTCTTTGTTATTTTCACTATCAGTTTCACTTAATTCTTTATCTAATACTATTTGTTTTACTACCAATAAACTTTCTATATTAAATTCAAATGTAAATTTTTCGTTGGTATTGTGAATTTTGTCAAAAAAACTTTCATTTTTATTTTTATAATTTATCAATGTATCTTTTGAATTCGTTTTTAACAAATTTGATGAGTTAAAAATATTCTCATTAGAATTTGTAATTTCCATTTAATGACCGAGTCTAATATATAAATGGCAAAGATCCTTTAAAAGTAAAACCTAAATGAAATTTTAAAAAAATAAATATGTTATTTGTCATAGCTTCAGATCACATTATCATAGTTGTACAAATAAATAAATTAAATTAAATATAGTTATCATTGAGATAATTTTTTTTTCATAGTAACTTCGATATATAAAATTAAAAATAATCAACATGCTTTTATATTTGAATTTAATTTTTGTGACATGTCCAGTGACTGTTATATAAAATTTAAAATAAAAAATTTTCTTGTGTACCTGCATCAGGAATTTTTATATAACGTTCTACAACGTTTTACGAATGGAACGTTCGTATAGTGTTTTATATACGCCGTTCTACAACATTTTACGAACATTACGTTCTAGAATGATCTGTTCTACAACGTTCTACGAACAATAAGTATAAATAACGTTATATAATGGATCGTTCTAATACGTTTTACAAACTATCAGTATTAATAATGTTCTAGAACGATCCGTTCTACAACATTCTACGAACAATAAGTATAAATAACGTTATATAGCGAATAGTTCTAGGAGATCGTCTAAAGCAGTGTCCTATCATGTGATATATAAATCGACAATGGAAAAATGGTCTAGTATACAGATCATATCACATGAAAACGAGTCTTCAAAATTGAATTAAAAATTATACTCGTGAATATTGATTTATTATACTTGCGAACATTATAATTTATTTATACCCACAAACATTTTGATTTATAAATAATTAATTAAATTAATAAAGCTATTATTGAAAAAAATTTTGATTTATTTTTGTAATATATCAATTTGATAATTATATATTTATTTCGCCTTTACATTATTTAAAATTGGTTCTAAACAGGATTGTAATTTTTCAAGAAATACACCCGTTTGTCCTTCATCACCCTTCTCTTCAACTCTCCAATACATATCGCGAGTTCTTTCCATAAGTTCATTTATGGCCAATCTTCAATTTTCAGCTATTTTTTTAGCTTTGGTTT